AATGAAAATATAGTTTTTAGTTTTTATACTTTTACTAGTTCGAATATTCAGTGTGCGTAAAGTTTTATCTAAATCCTATTAGACGAAGATAATTTTATTAATAGTATATTATTACCTATATTGCCTGAGTATATCTGTAATGATGATAATATTTACATTACAGGTATAATACTATATTTTATCTCATCTGCATATTTTTAATAACATTACGCAAATATATTTTTAGCAAATCTCGTGTACACATCGGAACGTTTCTTAAACCCGCAAAGTGTAATTAATAGTTCAAAAACCAAAATCTCGTATTGAATGCAATCAATTAGAATGGTGTTTTGTTAAAATGGTTTTTTTTCCGCACGCATTACTTGTACAACCTGTTACCTACCTACCTGTTTAGCCATTCATCGCAGCAAAATTATATGCAATTATTGTAATAGCAGTGTACATAATAATAAACAACATACTCGTAGCTGTGTACATAGTAATAAACAACGTCGGTGATTAATTTGTAATGTCAACATTCATAAAATTTCTTTCGGTGCAAGTACAGTCTTCGAGGATTACGTGATGCACCGGCAACCATTACAACGAGTTAGATTCGCGAAAAACTTAAGCGTTCACCATAACGGATGTGGAACGCGTCACCGTTGAACGTCGACTGAAAACATTTCACCTTACTCGTAACACGTGTGGGCGCGTTACACGTAAATAACTGATCGTAAAAAAAAAAAAAAAATGATTCCATCTAATAGAATCACTTTGAACTGTGGAATATCGGTGGCACACTTGATAGGGATCAGTGAACTGTTAAAACTATCTGATATACACCACAGTAGTCACAATGGAATTTTATCATAACATGTATTCATTAATTGTGCAGAAACATCAGTTACGTATAAAAAGCAACAAAAAAATAAAAATAAAAATATGTTCAAAATCGTTTTCGAATGAGCTGAAATTCGCTCACGTCGTTGACGCTTACGCTTTTAATACTGTTAGGTAAGTATTTATTATCAACCGAGTGAAGAGTTGTAAACGAACACGATTAATTCGAAATAACTCTTTTGAACAACGCGTTATTGCGGTCGTAAAAGTCGAGTTACGGCGCTAGGAGTTGGGAATAAAAATAATGATGTATTCAATAACGTATTATAGGTAGTAACGTTTTACTACAGGTATTAAGAATGATTCAGTGCGTTCGAATCACAGCCGTACAACACGTAATAATACTATCGTCCAATATTAAAAATAGTTCATCGCCGAACACTTTCGTTTTAATGCGATTCCGACGTTCGTTACTACCCGTGCGGTTTCTGTGGCAGAATGCAGACCTCGCCGATTCCGACGCACCGGCCTGAGCACTAAACAATTAAACAATATCATTGGAAACGGATTTGCCTTACGGTTTCGAGTTTGATTTTGCGATGATAAGCTGTATTTCCAATAATATAATATGCACACAACGCGGAACGTCTAATTATTATTGAACGAAAAGGGAAATATTGTTTGCGATTTAACATTGTTCCACTCCGGTATCCATTTTAAATAGTGTTTACAGAAATGTTTCCAAGTTAAACATTGCCCGGACTGCTTAGTTTCGTTTCAAGACATCGGATGATAATTAATTTCGATAACTTTCCGCAAGTGAACGAAACGAGGAATATTTGTGTTGGTCCTTGCCACGGCGTTCATTCTTTTCTCCGGCGATTCAGTTTTTCGATCGCAATTAAACCGCGTCGGACATTTCATACGACTTCTAATTGCCACGTCGATCGATTACCGTAATGGTTAATTTTGATTTTTTTTCCTTCCACAAAACACGCGTTGTTTTCTTAAGCGGACTGAGGAATTGAAATAATTGTTGTTAATACAATGCTGAATTTCGTCCGACCGGCGACAAACGTACGCGTATAATATCTTTAAAGACAAATGTTTTCAAGCTGTACAAACCTCTGGTGTTTTAAACGTTGAATGTGTACTGCGAACCGTGAGGTACTTTATTTATTGTTTTGATGATCAGACTCCGAAATTATAATTATGTGCACAACGTGCAGTTTGAGCGAAGTATATATTTTTGATAAATCTTATCGATGAGGTAAAAAATATTAGAGGATCAATATCAAACAGGGTCACATAATAATATTATATATTGGGTTTCGAAAATCCTTACTTGCAATAACTCAATGTTTAGATTTTATTTTTTTATTTTTTTATCGTGGGTTCGATAACATCGTTTGCAGTTCCGTAGTCGGTATACAAATTAAATCATGCTTTGTGAATACCGTGGAAACTTAACGAATTAATGTGTGTTATTAAAATCTCTCGAATGAAAGTACGGCGGAACAACATTATTCCAGTGTTTGTACTTGTTACCGTATAATACTGCCTGCGTTTAATTCTAAATGTAGGTAGTGGTTTACTTTTACATGCACTATAACCGTTCGCAGTACATTTCGTTTTATTGTTTTGCGCGTTGGTTTGTAATCATACTTGTCTTTGATGTTTATTCGGTATGTATCTACTCAAAGTAAATAAAATGATTTTGATCAACCTCGCTGTAATAAAAGGTCATGATGTTTATTAAATTACTAGGCACGGATAGTTAGTTTATTTCAAGGGTCAAGTATTTTCAAAAAAGAAATTTTCAATCCTGCAATATATATGTAAGTATTATCTTTCTAGAATTATTTTCTTACGAGAAAAAGAGAAACGTGTTGGTTTTTCTCAACAGTATTTTTTCTTTCCCACGACTAAACTTTTCATTAATAAATTTGCGTCAAAAGCTTCATAGTTTTTAGTTTTTAATTGATAGTTTTTAATCGAACACATTAAGTTTTACAAGTGACTAATTCGTCTGAGCACAAATTTGTTTTTTATAGCTTGATCATTGTGTGCAGGCGCGAAACCAAAAGGAAAGGGGCTAAGAGGCTTTAGCTCCCCCCCTCTTTTGGGACCTGTTATATACTATGTAAGTATTTAATAAATATTTTATAGGTATGTCTTTAACTGAAGATTAGTTAAAAGACCAATATACTTATTAAACATTTCTTATTTTATAATTTTAAAATATATTACAACTAATATATATATATGTATTTATTAAAATTATATACTATGCTTTTCTGTAAATACAAATTACCCATATGTAGTAGATCTTATTATGTAGGTATACCGAAAATTGGACATCAACAATAATTTAAAAAGTAATAATCTTAAGATTTTTTTTATAAGGTTTTTCTGACTCGAAGCAAACTATATTAAAAACTAAGATAAAACAAAGAACATCTCGGAGTTAATCGTGAATTGTGCCTATACAACATTTAATATATTCATTTCGAGAATATTAGTATTTATTTGGAAGGAGTTACACAAAAATATTATGCAATCTTCGGTTGATTTTAGAGGTTTTAAAAAAATCATTTGATTTTGTATTATTTTTTCAAGTGTGACTGACAAAGACAGGAACTGAACCGAAAAGAACCGGTTTTGGAACTGGAACCTATTAAATAATAGGAACCGATACCCGAACCGAAACCTTTATTTTGATAAATGAAGTATCGGAACAGAACCGGAATTTTAAATTATAAAGGTTATTTTTTTATAAATAATCAGGGATCCATTCTTATTATGTTTATTCCTAGAGCTATACAAAGTTCTTATTCTTATTCTTATTCTTCACCTATTTAAAATTATATTTTTGAAGTGTTTATTACGTGTATATATATCATAAAATAATATTATATAGAAATATTTTTCCCAGTTATACCATAATTGGAATTAATATTATTTTCCAAATAAAGCGATAGTATTAATAAAATAGACACCCGCTAGTGTAAATTGTAGTTCATAGTTTATAGACGAGTATTTTAAATATTTTTTAACTACTGCTTCTATGGTGCGAAAGCTATTATTTATAATTTAATTATTTTTAACCTATTTATCGTATGCAATTTTTAATTTAAAACTTTATTATCTTTTAAATTCTGATACATAACGATTTAGTTTTACCAGTTGTAACAGATTTAATAACAGTATTACTGTTTTGTGTATTTTATAGGGGGTAACGTTGATTGTCAGCAATACATATTAAAATAATTTTTCGTTTACTACTATAAACACTAACAAATGAACAATGGTATATATATTTATAGTATATTCACTATTTTTTTTATTTTCATTGATAAGAAATAATATTAAATTTTACTGATAACAGGAACCGGTACCTTTATTAATTTTCATCATAGAACCGGAATAGTTATTTTATTTTCTGAGAACCAGTACCGGAATCGATAACGATAAATTCAAATAATTCCAGTCCCTGGTGACTGATAACTTAAAAATTTAAGTATGTATCGGCTATTACTATTTTAACATTTCAAGTCTGACTTAAAAATGTATATTTATTATAATATAATATAATATTATAAGTAAATAGAATGTTGAAGTTTTTGTTTTAAAACCAGTGATATCATAAAATCGTATTAAATTATTTTATTACATGATAAACATTTTAGTGATAATTTGATTACGTCAAATATCCTATTCCAATGAGATAATTCGTTACATTGACTTCTGACTATTGTTATCACCGACTGCATTAATAACTGAACAATATTAATCATTCGAAAAGGCCATTTGGGGGAGTTAACCTACTTCATAGTGACTGCACGTAACGTTTCTACTTGAATATGTCAATGCCGGTCGTCCTGAGCGTGTGTGGCCGAACACTGCTGACGCTGTCCATGAATTGATATCATATTCGTATACGACACGCACCGTGTATTACTAAGTAAATAAGTACTACATATATTGTATAAATTTTACGTGAACTTATAAAAAGTCCATTAAAGAATTTTTTTTAAAAACCAAAGCTCAAATATAAATCGCATTGTCACAAAAAAACTTACAACAATACACGATATCTACTCCAAATTATGTAATAAAATGAATATACATACCTCCGTCGAAGAAAAAATTATCTTTCAAAAAAACCCTCCCTGGCTATGGAACCTAAAATTAACAACAGATCTATTCACACTCTGCAAACAGAAATAAACCACAAGATTATAACATCTCATTTTCACAAAATTATTCAATTACGTTTCCCTAATCACATTCTAATCTACACGGATGCCTCAAAGTCTGAAAACGGTGTTGGCTTTGCAGTTGTTCATAATCAAACAACCATTAAACACAAGCTTCCCACAATAACAAACATATTCACCGCCGAAAACTACGCAATACTCGAAGCAATTAAACTAGCAAATTCGCTTCAAACAAATAACTTTTTGATTATCAGCGATTCCCTCAGCGTCCTAACAGCACTAAAAAACCCGTGGTCCAGAAATGAGATCACTCAAATTACCCAATCTGAACTAATCAACACCCAGAAAACCTTCGAATTTATGTGGGTACCTTCCCACGTAGGAATAAAAGGTAACGAAATGGCCGACGAAGCAGCCTCCCTTGCCTCTAATGTTCTACCCAACAGCACCATCGACAAAATATCATCCTATGATATTTTCACGTCCATCAAAAATAAAATCTTTTTGTCATGACAACACCATTGGGACTCCATTCTGCCTACCAACAAACTTAAGCACATAAAAAGTTCTGTGAAACAATGGTTTACACATCCGGACCTCAACCGACGTCAAAATATTGCCATCACCCGCATTAGAATCGGCCACACCTTTCTCACACACTCTTTCCTTATCAGTAAAGACCAACCCCCTATATGCAACACATGCCAAACTCGCATCACCATAAGTCATATTTTTAAGGAATGCCCAATACACGAGCCAACCCGCACTCTTCTCAACCTCCCACTCAACATCAAAGAAGCCTTAAATGAAGAACATACTTTAAAAACCATCCAATTCATCATCAAAGACAATCTCATCAACAAAATATAGTTTTAATACAAATTAAATTGTAAATCTTTTTAAACAAATTTTGTAATTTTTAATATTGTTATTTACTTTTGTTTTCCTTTTTCTTAAACTTAAACATAATGTTGGCTTAATAATCATTGTAGTTGAAGTCTGTAAACCTTAAAAAAAAAAAAATTATCTTGTAATACCAAGACAAATGTATTCTATTATAATTAACAAGAAGTATATTGTCATCAATATTAGGTTGGCATTTTCTGTCAAGCTGTACAAGTTTTTTTTAATTTTTTTTTATTTATACCAACCGGTCTAGTAATATGGACGATTGGTACGGCGTTAGAAAATCAGTCTTCGAATGTACCTGAATATAATTCATTTAATTACCATCGTAAGCCCCATCTATCGCGACCCGACTAAGCAAAATGCAACCTAGTGGAGAAGTAGCGAATCGACCCGGTACCCAAATATAAAACTGATTTCGATAAAAAAAAAAAAAAAAATATAATTGTGGAAAATCAACTTTAAACATTTTCTACACCGTTGTTTTTACAGTATAGTGCAAATATGTACATATGATTATTTAAGTTCAAAGATGAGACCAGTCAATGCTCACACATACCTACTCGTGCCAACAACAACAATACGAGAAATATCTTTTCTGTACACCGTCTGGGTAAACGAATTTGGATGATTATTACCAGAATAAATCCGTTTTCTCGATAATAAGAGGACGAATTGTTTTTAATTTGAAATTCAGTGAAATGTGAAAAAATGCGAGGGATGTCGTACACCTTGTAAAATTAGCTGCAAATTAAAATTACTGAAAATTAAATTTTACTTATTTTCCCTGATAATAGAAATACGGGTTTAAAAATAACATGACATTATTTACGTAAATGTACCATTTATTGATGTTTTAATTAAACATTAATAATAAAAGACTATATATATATATATTTATCACTATTTTAATATTCATTGGTGTGGGACGAGTTCCATATATTTTTCATTGTTCGCATATACTATATATTCAGTCGTATCTACCCAAGAGCTTACGAATACTTATTTTTTTTTAAATATATTGTCACCGACTTGTAAGAAAAGAAAAATGTACGAAAATATACGTATGAAAACATAAAAAACCTTGTACGTTGATGATAAAAAAAAATAAATATTCTTAATACGGTCCTGTTCAAAATGCATGAGTTTTAAAGAAAAAACCTAAATCGTCTTAGGTATTCAGTTACTTGAGCGTGTTAGGTGTTTAAAAAGGTTAGTCCCCCCCCCCCCCCCCGATTGCCCGTATTATTATTATTTTCCTCGGTCATGAGTAAAAATATGATGTGTTCGTATTAATATTAAATATACTACACTGGACTTGGATCGTAATAATTTTATATTTCCCATCGATTGTACCAAATAGCCATAGAAATTAATTTAATATCTATGTTAGAGTAACACACTGCTCAGTTGTGTTGATCTTTAGAATCTTCCCCCCACACACCCTCCGAGCGGTATAAATTATAGTCTGTACTGCGGACTTGGAAGATATTTTCTGAGACCGTGGTTTACATCGGGAACGAAAACTGATTGGAATCTAATCTGTGGCCTTACTACACTTGTCACTTGCTGCCTGGATCGATAAAGTTCACGCGGGACGAGCGAGAAATTATTTCGTCGATAATCGCGGTGCGCTCGGCACGGGATCAAGGATTACCGCGCGGCGGACGACACGTTTTGCGTTCACGCGCGTACGGCGATGCGAAAAGCGCTGTAACGCGAGCGAATACCAACACCGTTCACGTTGTACATATCGTCTTGCCGTCATCGCGATAACAACGATCTGTCGTGTCTTAAGGCAGATTTAGTAGACGGGTATGAAAATAATAAGGGCCCGCGTCAGTCTTCGAACGTTCGAAAACGGTACTACTGACATGCGGTTACGATACATTGCGCAGCACGCGGTATTTAAGATATCTATAGTTTTCAGACCGATTGGAAGGTAATTGGGTAAGCAGTTCTAAAAATAAAAATGTCATGAAAGAAATTATGATAAATTCACTATAAACAAGTTAACTGTATTTTCTTCAAATATTCATGGATTATTTTTAATATTTCAATGCTCATACGATTCTTTATATACATACAAATAATTTACATTATCAATATAAACAAAAATAATTCAAATTAATGGAATTTCTCATAAATTAAAATGGTCTACAAGTGTAGACCACGCACCTGAATAAGTAACAATATACCTCGCGCCTAACGAAGGCTTAATTTCATGTTCATTATTACTATTGTTTTAAAAATTAAATCATAAATATAGGTATACAGGTAACAACTAATTAGATGTGATAGACTTAGATGATAGTACGAGTATATTGTATACCCTATAGTCAGTATGATTTGACTATATGCCTGCGACATAATACTATCAACAAACATATATATTATTCATGTTTATTGATAATTATTATCTTTGATGCACGAGGCATAATTACTGTTGTTGGTGTGTGGCTATGTGCGGAATAGTATCAATTTTTTTCCTCTGGTGATCACGCACACAAATAAGATATTTTTTAAAAGTTTTAATTTTCAAGCGAGTAATAGTCTCGAAACGGTTGGGAACCGCTGCTCTAATAGTGATCGCTACGATCGAACTGCTGAACGCCAATTCGCCGTTACGTGTACGTCAGACGCTTGCGGGTGCGACGTCGTCCTTTAAATTGACATGTTTACAAAAGACCCGAAACAAAATTAAAATGTATTTTTATATTTTCTTACCAGTTACCGTCGAACAAATATAGGTATTATAACTGTGTTTTCATTATTTGAAATGATAGTGTATATTAGTTTTGGTGCTTATTTTTCTCGGTAATCATTTCCTCCTGTTAACCAAATTCCATAATATTGATATAAAGTAAAATTAACGAATTTTATAGTACATATGCAACAACATGTAATGACCCAGTTGATATATTAATAATAATAACATATTTATACAAATACTATAATAATCTAAAGATAACCCTTCGTTAGGCATGAGTTATATTTTTACTTATTTAGGTGCGTGGTATACACTTGTGGACCATTTTAATTTATGAGAAATTAAATTAATTTTAATTATTTTTGTTTATATTAAAAATGTTAAGTATTTATATGCATATAAAGAATCGTATGAGCATTAAAATATCAAAAATAATCCATAAATATTCGTAGAAAATACAATTATCTTGTTAGTAGTGACATTATAAAAATTTCATTCATAACATTTTAGTTTTTAAAACTAGTTACACAATTACCTTCCAATCGGCCTGAAACTATAAATTTCTGAAATTGGCATGTTTACAAAAGACCCGAAACAAAATTAAAATACATTTTTATACTTTCTTACTAGTTATCGTCGAATAAATATAGGTATTATAACTGTAATTTCTTTATAGGAAATGATAGTGTATATGAGTTTTGGTGCTTATTTTTCTTAGTAATAATTTCCTTTTGTAAATTAAATTCCATAATATTGATATAAAATATAACTATCGGATTTTAGTTTATATAAAACGAAATGTCATGACCCAACAGGTATATTAATAATAATAACATATTATATAACTTCATCCGATTAAAAAAAAAAAAAAAAATTGAATTTTGCAAATTTATAAAAAAATATAACATAGTAAGTCGCGTGGCTTACAGTTGTAGACCACTCGGAATATTGTTGATATGTTTCGTTATACAACGCTCGTCAACGGTCACAATAATACTGATCACACAGTAGTATATATAAACAACAGTTACTATAAAGTACAAGGTGCTACAATTTTTTTATAATTATTAAAATTGTCAATATTTATAGCTGGTCTACAATTGTAGACCACGCGCTTAACAAAGGGTTAAACATATTATTTCATATACCAACGTGTTTTACATAGTAATAAATAATAAATTACTTATTTATGAATAAAATAGCAACAAATAATCGATAGAAAATATAATTAAATTTTTAAAATAATACAAAATGTTTTTTTATTAGTTGCCTGACATGAAATAAGCATTTAATCATATTCCTAGTCATTTAATTAAATGACTAGGAATTTAACTTTATTTGATTTGACTATATGCCTACGACATATACATATATCGTCGCAACACGCAGTCGACCCGAACAATCAAATATAAATGCTTCAAAATTACAACGAAATACAACCAGAATAATAAAACTTAAATAAAATAAGAAAATAAAGATATGGGTACCATTTTGTCACGTTACACGGTAGCAGGTATGAAAATATTGGCGTTACAGAAATATTGATATTAAAAACGGATCACCGCGACCGAACGGTTCATTACGGTTGCGATGTTTTTAGTATACCGTTTTTGTTTTATCGCGGTGATATTCGAAGAGGAGAAAAAATATCCCGTTACCGTTGTATTGTTTAAAAGTGGTGATTGAATATAACCCGTAATGTGTTTGTAAAATACTAATAAACAAAAAAATGTATAGATTATGAACATCAATGTTTTCTACCTTTAATATTTATTATTTCGATAGGATTTCGGTGTCATAACGCAGGAAATCTGAGCTTATGTAAAATAGCGATAACGATCGAATGGAGTGACGGATAATTCTGTTTTATTAACAGTACGCAATTTTTAATTACACC